GAAGAAAGGTGAAAGATACTTACCTCAATGCATAGCACCTAACATGAAGCATGGGGGAGGCAGTGTGATGGTTTAGGAGTGTTTTTTTTTTTTTTGCTGGACCAGTGCAAGTACTATCAGATACTGATCTGTCATGGTATAACCAGTAGTTTGCCTATTATTGGTAAATGATTCTACTACCAAGATAATGACACCAAACACTCATCCAACCTATGTAAAAATTACTTAGCTAAGAAAGAAGCTGCTGGAGTAATTCAAGTGATGAATGGCCCCCAAAGAGCCTCAATCTCAAACCAATTGAGCAGATCTACGATTTGATAGATCAAAAACTTGACAAATCAAAAGTTACTTCCAAAGAAACTTTATGGGAGTGTATTAGAGACATTTGAAGTAAAATCCCAAAGGACACTTTGATTAAATATGTTGCAACAATGCCTGAAAGACTTTCTGCAGTTATTAAAGCAAAAGGGGGACACACAAAATATTAACCGTTTGCTGAACTCAAACACTTCCACTAAGTTTCTGTTTTACTAAATATGAAGATTAATAAAGTTTTGATGTTTCACCTGTGATTTACCTTCCATTTTTTTTTTAAAGTAGCCTGAAACTTTTGACTTTGTCCTAACATTTTTGCACAGTATTGTATATATAGTACATTTATGCTGATAGTGAGACTAATTAATGGTGTTCTTTTTTTTTACTATCTTCTTAATTACAATTGCATGTGCACAGGAGTCCTTTGTTATCTTAAAGGCCATAAATTCAGATACGAATTTAAAAACAAAGAGTCTTAACAAAATAACATTCTCTTTTCCCAGATCCTACAGAGGAAACTGTTGCTTTATCATGCTTTATCAGTCTTATGTAATAAAGTAATTGACAATATTTTAGCTTTGGGAAGTGAGAGGCTAGTGAGTTGAACACCTAACGGAAGCTCATTTTTGGTTCTTTTCTATTGTATAAGCCAATATAGCTTCCATTTCAACAGAGATTAGAACAAGGTAATAAAACCTTTAATAGCTTGATGATATGTTGTTTGAAAAAAAAAGATGTTTGTGAACAACTACCACCATAATTACAGTCCTAATTTTTTAAAGCTTACAAAAAACTTGTTTTATCGTTTTATATTTAATTTGAATTGTAATGTTGCAGTTTGATAGGAAATGTTTAATTTCATGAGATAGGCCTAATTGCACCATTTTGCACTCAAGTCTCAATAATACCAAGTTTAATTTCACCAACATAGCCGTTTTGTTAGACCATATTTACTGTAGATCTTGAATGACAAATAAATAAATTCCCCAAAATGAAATGTAGTGTATATAAATGAAAATAAAACTGGTTGAGCCTGTTTTGTGGACATTTTTATTCCTTTTTGTTTATTCATTGCTTAATAGCTTGATTGTGTTTCTTTCTTTTTTACTTTTATCTTTAATTGTTTTATTACTTTCTCATTGTGGTTTAAGTTAATAACTTTAACCATATTCTGAAATATCAAAAGTTTGGACTGGCTGTTAATTATACTTTCCTTATTGTTGATATAAAATATTTTTGCCTAACTGATGTTGATTCTTTATTGTATTATTACATATTTAAAGGATTTAGTTGTGCATGTCTTTACATTTGAATAGTTGTTACATATACTGCAAGTAGTATTATTGGTATTAGAAAAGCTCATATAGTAGATGAAAGTAAGAATTTTCTTTTATGAAGTTATTTACGTTTTTCAAGTTTGTGGGATTAAATGTTTCTAAATGAACTACTAATGTCAAAGCATCTTGTTTAACTGTCTCTCTCTTACAGGAAATACTCCTGGTGACTACTCGGCAATTGCTAGTGGGCCACACTATGAGGTTTATCCCAATGGTTCTCTTCTCATCAAGGACACCCAGTCAAAAGATGAGGGACTCTACCTGTGTCAGGTTAACAATGGAATTGGATCAGGCTTGAGTAAAGTAATCTTTGTTACAGTTCATGGTAAGTTGGTTGTAAATGTTCTGTTGTCTTCTTTGCTGAGAAACTGTATATATATAAAATGTATACATTATTCTAACTGATTGGAAGACCAACAACTTTAATTCAAAATGATATTGTTAAATACCAGAACACTGTTATATATTAAAACCACAGGGAATCTTTGAGTAGTTACATCCAGTGTTTTTTATATAAAGATAAACTTTGAAATTTGATGGCGAGGAACCCACTTTGAGACTAATAATGCTTGGAGATAGCTCGATTGGGTAATGAAGAAAAACTTTAATATAAGTTTAACATAACAGTAAATGTATAATGTTTCAACTAGGTTCTGTCATCGTCAGGTACAAGTAGTTTATACTGACACAGATATATATATATACAGTATGAAACAAACTTTTTCTATTTTTTAAACCTGTTTGAGACTTTTGTTATCTGGACATATTAAAAAATTGCACACACTAATTAACTTGAATAAAATAATACAAATGTCCTTTATATAAACAATTACCACATTTTGTAAAACCTGAACATTGATAATAAACATATGACACCTGAGTATTACTGCAAGTTATTGGTTAAGCATTAAATGTAATATTTTAAAGAATTTTTATTAATGTTCTTAATGCAGTTGTGAAGAAAATTAAAAAGGATAAGTACCAAAGAGAAAATTATTAATACATGCTAAACCAAAAAAAAAGAAAAGATAAATATGAGCAATGATGGTTAATGATTTGAGCATGTTACTTCATTAAGTACTTTTTTCCCTGTTAAAACCATGTACACCTTTGTTACTGGTAGCAACTTGTAATAATACTCATAGAAGTGTTTATTTTGTGACTCTTAACAACTTTTTTTTATTTCTTTATTTAAAATATAAAATATTTTGTTTTATTTATTTTATGTCTCAAGAATAATCTTATATTATCCTGATTACTTGTTTTGAGCATGAAAAGAGCTTAGGTTTGTTCTCTATTTTTAGAAGCAAAAACATTATTTTATGTATCATTGGTGCTTTTTTAAACCGTGTGTTGGAACTGAAGTACAACATCAAGAAAAACAAATTTAGTTGTGCAACAATTTTATGTCTTAGAAACATTGAATTTTAGAAATTAAAAAACGAAGATAATGTATTATAATTTTTTTATAAAGATATGCTCAGTTATTGTTTTAAAATAAACATAACTTTTAATTACAAATAAATAAAATTACCACAAACTCTAGAGAATCTTTGAAATTGTTTACTTTGCTCAATGTTTTGGCTTTATGACTCTATCAGGAGCATGAAATTTTGTTAAATAACTGTATCACTCTATTTGTGTACTTCCGATGATGGCATAAAGCTAAACCATTGAGCAAAGTACACCACTTGTAGGATTATCTGGAGTTCGCAGTAATTTTATTTGTTTGTAATTATGTATATTATGTTATTTAAAAAAAATAAAAACATAACTTTTGTGTTATATTTCTGTTTTATTTTAATTGTGTATCATAGAAACAAAAGTGAACCTTGTATTAACTTTTTCATCAACCAGTACTTTCTGTGTTTAAATTTTTTAGCTTTTCCATTGATTCCTTTAAATCAATAGGCATGTCTAAAAAATTGAGATGATAATTATTATCAAGAGTGCTATGGACATAAAATGTATATCAGTTACTTTTGGTTTTTAAAGCTAGTGTGTTATCTTGGATGATACACTTCTTAAAAGATTTGAAAAATAATTTTCGTGACAGGTACTCTTATCCTTTCTCATATAAATTCATGTACACATTAAAAATACATGTAATGTAATACTTTTGAATAATAACAAAGCTTTTTCAAATGAAAGATTGATAACCAAAAGTAAGAAACAAAGCAACTTATTATTTTTAGACTTAACAAAGGAGCTGAAGATGTTATCACATTTGAATTTTTTCTTCACATACATATAAATGTATATTATGGAAGCAGTACTCCTGTTTGAAAAGACTTATTTAATGTTGTTTCTTAATCAATAATTTTACTTCAATTCTTTTTTTGTGTGTCCACATCTTTTGTTATTTCTGTCTGACAAAAAGCAACTTCTATTAAGTTAATTATATAATGTGTTATAAGTACTGTGCACATGTTCATAGGTGTGTGTGTGTATAGCCGTGTGTATATATATGAATTATATTAGCCAAAGTCCATTTTGGAAGCATTGAATTTCCATGAAAGTATTCTTATATTAATATTATATTGTATATTCTATTGCTCATTATTATTTATTAATATATGTAGTTTTTTCAGCATGAATAGTTTATGATTTAAGCATGTTATCCCTTTTTTGTTACCAAGCTACACAGGCCCATTTTGTTTTGTTTTTCTAACTTGCTGTGTGATGTTTTACTGCTAGTAATTTTGACTTGCTAATAACTGCTATGTGGCATATATGATATATGTTCATGTTAAGTTCCGCCACGTTTTGAAACCAAGTTCAGAAGTGAGACAGTCCGCAAGGGAGAGAAAGTCATGTTGAGGTGCCACGCTTATGGAGATCATCCCATGACCATTGTTTGGAATGTCAACGGGCACCCACTGAGCCCTTCTGACAATCCAAGGTAGGCTTTAAAAAAGTACTTCATAATTTGTGCTGTATACCACTTTAAATAACAACCTTTTACTTTTTCTTTGTAGATTTTCTAGACTCATTGTTAAGCTTGAGGGCTTATAAGTATTTGGGGTTTAACCTCAGCAGCAGACACAACACAAAAAGCCCATTTTGCAGCTTTCTGCTTAAAGCAGACAATCAAGTTTTTCTTGGGACCTAGATTTGTCTATCAGTCACGTTTAAAATAAAATTCAGTTATTATAAACAAAGTACATAAATTTGCTAGAACAAATCCAAGCTCATGAGAAAATAGTGTGAAAAGACCTTGGAAATAATAAGAGTTCACTGTAAAAAGTAATACCTCACCTCTCACACAGATTTAGCTATCATTCTTGCATGTCTACCAAAAAGATTTGCATACTACTAGCCTTGAGGAATTGTGCTACTGCATGATGACATAATCATGCGACATAGCCTTCAACAATTGGAGGGCAACACACCTCTAACCACAATAACTTCCCTTATTAACTTACACTCATGTAAACTTTATTATTCTCCTCAGCATTGTATTGATCAGGTGTGTTTAATTTTTTCATCTGAGTTCTGTTGAGATTTGCATCAGTAACAATAATCTATATTTAATTTTCTTTGGCCTTTTGTTTCAAAAGCTTTAACATTTATTGTGTGTTCCCAAAGACCGTGATTTGTCTTGTGTCCGGAGTTAATAATTTGGTTCACTCTTAGGCCTTATTTTTACTGTGGCTCTAGGAAGCTTGTTAGCTATCAGGGTCATTGCAGCTGTTGTTAAACGTGTTGTGGATTACCACATACTTACCCGGCCTCCTGCTCCTGTCCCGTCAGCTGAATTTCTTTCTCCTCAGTCAGAAATAATCTGTTGAAATGCAACCTTTGCCAGTTTGCTTTGGGTAGTACCTTACCATATATGAAACAACCTTAACCTTCCTTTCTCTCTCTGGATTTTATTCTCAAGCACGTTCCTTTCCTTTATTAATTTTCGTTTTATCACTCCCTAACCCACATTTCTTAAGTTTAGCTTGTCTTTTCCCTAACATGCCTTTAGAATTTGTGCTGTTTCCTGTATCTAACAACTCCTTTCTCATGCCCAAATATGTTGTCCCACTTACAGTCATGACATCATTTGTTCTGAACTGTAGACTTTCTTCTTTTTCATTTCTCAATCCCCTTTTATTGATATTTATCTGGTCAGCCTCTATGAACATTCCTTCTTTTATCTGTTATTCCACTTCTTTTGCTCTGTCCTTCTATCCTTTGTTCCTCTGCTGTCAGAACTCTCTGGGTTGGGTTGTACTTTTTGCTGTACTCCTTCCTTTTTCTTTTGTACGTATTGTTTGTCTGGTTCCATTTCTTTGCCCAATTGTCTTCAGTGGAGTTCCTTTCTCCTTGGTAACCTGGAGTGATGTTCTATGGCTTCTGTCCTTGTTATCTTCCCATGTTTTTTTTTTCTCAGCCTTGTCTATTATTCCTATTCCTCTTCTGGTTCATACTTCTCATCTCCTCCCCATTCCAAATTACACACCTTCCTCTTTTTATTTTCCTCTTATTGTCAGTGACAACCTTTTTCTCCACCATGGTCTCTTTCCTCACTCCTCTTTTCTCTGCTTTCTTTCCCATTTCTTTTTCTCCTCCTTTCAGCCCCATCTATGATCTTTTTTTACCTGGTCTGTGGTTGGCCATTATCTACATGTTGGCATCTTACCACACGTCTTTCTTGGCCCATCCTCCCTTTGTTTTCTATGTTCTGTTCAGCTTTTTTGCATCTTCCCATTCTTTTCTCTTCTCTTTATTTTGGCATTGGCCCCTCTAGTATTCTTTGGTATTGTGAGGCCATTTGTTTGCCATATTCATAGCCTGGGGCTGATGTTCCTTTATTGGACTATTTACTTCTGTTAGCTCATTTTTCATTTTTTCCTCTTCTCCTCCCTCCCTTTCTTTTATGGTCACTCCTCAGTTTGGGTGGAGGGCTTATCCTGGGATCTCAGTCCTTTCTCACGCCTACAAGGAATTATCATGGTGAGTAGACCATGCCTGCACTACTTCCTACATTCCCTTACCACTTCTCAATCCATCCCTCTCCCTTCTATGATTGTGGTACATTTCTGGATTTGGGAAGGATTTTTGATGTTTGAGTGCTGTACAGGCATCCACTCTACATCACTGTGCCTGACCTTCTCACTTTTCATTGAGCATGTTCCAATTCCTGCATTTACTGGTGAATCACTTGGTCATATTCCGCTGTTGTTTTTTGCTTCATCCATAAAGAGGCTGACATTCCAGGGTCTTTTGCTTTTAGGCATAATACACTTCTTGGTTAGTTTTGTTACGTGTCATTTACTGGGTGTTTACATCTTGGTAGTGGTCCTTCTTTCTCAGCCAGTCTGCACTGTATCACTGGAATGATATCTACACACCCTGGTCTTTCATCAGGCTTGCTGTTGGTTGGACACCACTCTTGGATGACTGTGCCACCCTTTTTGACTCTTGGCTTCCTCTCTTATGGTTCTCCTTGACTGGTTCTACCTTGGTCCACTTGTCATTTAGACCCCCTCTCTTCCTCTCCTCAAATTCCTCCTCTTTGCTTGCTTCACCCTCACACATCTCTTCTTCTATGAAGGATATGTTCCTTCCATCCTCACACAGGGACTTTGCCCATTCTATCGTCCATCAGATGAGGCTTTCTGCTTATGTGACATTATTGTTATCTCTTTCTTCTCACCCATCCACTATCTTTCTCTCTCAACATTGGTGGCAGGTTTTTTTGTCATTGGTCCTTCTGCCACCCCTTTCCTCCTGACATTCATTCTGCCTTTTTTACCTAAATGTTCATCAATGGCTATTTGGTCTTCTTTTCTGGTTGTTGGGTGGCCCTGTACAGGGCCCTTTTTCTTTCCTGGTACTCTATCCTCTCCACTGTGTTCCATTCCTTCTTTCTCCTTTATCCTCCTTGACCTGCTCCTCTGCTGGACTGTTTTCTTAATGTGGATTTACACAATCTTGAACATTCCTCATTTGTACCATTGTCTTCTTGCCTTTTGTATAGCCTTTTTCTCAAGTCTTGTTTCCTTCCCCCATGATTGTCATTGTTCAGATATCTCTCCTATAGATGCCTCTTACTCCCTTTACCTCCACACTTATATATTTCCCTCTCCAGATTGTCCCTTCTTTCCTTGTACTTCATCCACCCGGGTATTTTACAGTACTTCTCTCCTGTCTCCCACCTATTGGAATGTTAGATATACATGACTATTTTATTTAAATTTAATACAAGAGTTATAAATTGCAAGTATTAAATTTAGTATTTTTAGAAGCAATAATTTATCGTAGATTTGTTTATATAACTATGCACAAATCATATGTTGTGTTGTTCATTAATCGGTGATTGTTATTTTTTTGTGTCATGTTACTAAAAAACTTCTACATTTTTTTTGTGGTTTCATTGAGTATTATTACATCATAATGTCTTGTAATTTGTAGAAAGTTATGAACCTCAGTTAGGCAATTTATATATAGGCAACCAAGTTAGACTGAGTGTGAGTTTAGCCGTAATGAGTGTGGTTTCTAAAGGGAGTTTCATAGCTTGTATTGTAATAGCAAAAATAGAGGTGAATAATTTGTCTTGTAAAAAGGGGGTTCTAAAGTAATTGAACCCACCTGTGTGGACTTTGATAAAAAAGAGACAATTACTTAAAGCTCTGGATACAACTGTGATAACCAATAGTGTAACGAGTTTTTGTACATATGTTTGGCTTGTTTTGAATATATTATTTTGAAACAAGTGGATTGTGTGCTGTCCATTTATTGACATGGATCATTCCTACCTGGATCAGCTGCTGTTTTCTGTTGGACTGTTACAGGGACCTGTTTCCTTTTATCTTTACTGGATGGTCTGTCTACTCCTTTGGTTGACATGTTCATTTGAGATGTGAATTACTGTAGACTGTTCCACATTTCTTCACATTTGATTCTTACATCTCTTCTTCTCTGACCCTTGGACGGGCTCCTCCAGATTGGCATGTGGCCACCCTCCACACATTTATCTCCTTTTCTACACCTTCTGGCTGTTTTATCTTCTGATGGTTTCAGCTTTCACTGGCCACCATTTTCCAATCACCCTACCACCTTTGTGACAAATGAGTGCTCTTCCTCTTTCAGGGCCCCCTTTCTCATAGAATTCCACTATGTAGCTGGTGTTATCTCACAGGGTATGTGTACCAAAAGTCTGCATCAAGCCAGGATAATGGAAAGTTCTCATACCATTCACCCTGGCTCTACCTTAACCCACTGTGAAATTGGATGTTTGGCAAGACCACTATCAGACAAGATCCAAATGCAGATGTCAAACTAGTCAGCAACTATGGAGAAATAGTTAAGGGTTAGGAGATGAGTGCTTGAACCCACAATGTCTCAACTCCTACTGCCTTTCACTGTCTGCACTCAGTTGTTGGAAGGCAGTTACCCATAATATTTAGATATAATCATGATGTCAGAAAAACATGTAGGTTTAAGAAGTCTTGATACAAGATTATAAAAACCCTATAACCCGAGCACTTTCAAAAGGTGGATCTTTCTTCTTCAGGGGCAAACTGGGAATCATTTAGATATATATATAGATATAAAATAACCTTAGAGTAGAAATAAACCACCCTAACTTTCTACAACTGTAAAACTCCCAGCCTCTACCCTTTTCAATATTATAAGAAGATGTACAATAAGGCAAATTGCCCGAACAAATAGGCAAAAATATTCTTGTAGTAGAAATAAACTACCATATATTTCTACTACAAGAATACTTTTGCTTATTTGTTGGGGTAATTTGTCTTATTGTACATCTGTATAATTAGATTTACTGTCTATCAGTGGTGTAAGAAGGAGTTACAATGTGGGGGTGCTTCTAGACATGCAGATTTTACAATGAAAGACTGAAAGTATAAGGAGCTGCTAAAAGCAGCTCACGTGCTAACAAAGGCAGAT